GCGTTTTCACTGTGTTGTCATGTGTGTTAGGGAATAAAACTTTCAGGATATGACCTATTGTTCTGAGATAATGTGTGATGTAATGTTCTCCAGTTCTCTTGGACCGAGCACGGTCAACGAAAAAGCCCCATCGCCGCAGGCTACAAGGAGTGCCAAGAAACCGCACCTGCCAAAGACAGACTCCATCATGAGAGCCATATCAGGTTTTACTGCAGGAGTGTGTGTGTGTGTGTGTGTGTGCGCGCCTCACACACCTGGTCTCCGTCCTGACTCAACATTTACTCACTGTGTAGATTTTGTCACACCTGAACCCAATCTTCCTTCCTTCCAGACAGTCTGTTCAATATCTGCTCATACATACATGTTTGGAGTGGTGTGTGTGTGTGCGCGCCTCACACACCTGGTCTCCGTCCTGACTCAACATTTACTCACTGTGTAGATTTTGTCACACCTGAACCCAATCTTCCTTCCTTCCAGACAGTCTGTTCAATATCTGCTCATACATACACTACTGTTTGGAGTCAGTAAGAAGTTTCTTCTGCTCACCAAAGCTGTGTTTGTTTAATCAAAAATACAGTAAAAATTATGAAATATTACTACAATTTAGAAGAACAGTTTTCTATGTGACTATCTGTTAAACTGTAATTTATTCCTGTGGTCTTCAGTGTCACATGATCTTCAGAAATCATTCTAAGATGCTGATTTGCTGCTTAAGAAACATTTCAGATTATTATCAATGTTGAAAACATCAATATTTTTGTGGAAACCGTGATACATTTTATTTTTCAGGATTCACAGATGAATAGAAAGTTCAAAAGAACAGAATTTATTTGAAACAGTAATCTTTTGTCACATTATAAATGCCACTTTTGATCAATTCAAAGCATCCGTGATGAATAAAAGTTTTAATTTAGTTCAAAATAAAAAAGTTACTGACCCAAAGCATTTGAACGGTAGTGTAGTTCAGTTCAGATTATGAAAGGTGTGTTTGCGTTTACAGTCAAATGAACTAATTGTTTGCATCTCTGCCATTTAAATATCAAATCCTGTAAATATTCCATTATTTACATATTAGGAAACTTTATGACTAACTCAAATGTGCTGATATTCAGTGTTGCTTCATTTGAAATCCTCGTCATCATGATGAGCTGTGACGCTCAGATCTGTGTTTGTGTGTTCAGGTCTCTGTGATGCCGGTCTGCACTCGAGCCCCAGGAGGAACAGGAACAGCGGCGATGAGTTTGTTTCCAGCAGATCGGCCGTGTCTCCAGTGCTGCCCTCGCTCATCACACACCTCAACCAGGAGCTCCTGACCTCCGGTGCTCTGACGCTTCCCGGTGCGTGACCGGGCCAGAAACTACAAAACACAAGAAACACACATTAATATGCATATACAGTGGTGGCCAAAATGATTAGAACACTAGTATTTTCAGCAGCTAAAAATGGTTTTAAGTCAGTTATTTCTATCTTTTGCTGTAGTGTGTCAGTAGGAAATATCAGTTTACATTTCCAAACATTCATTTAGCCATTAATTGTAATAATCATGTAATGTGTGAGTGAGTGAGTGTGTGAGTGTGTGT